ACTCTTTACTGCCAATTTTTGGCTCATTTGTTAACTACATTCACTTTACGTAGACTTTTCTTACAAAATTATCCCCAGACAGAAAGGCTCTACTGGACTGTAAAATGTGCTTGAAATCTGCAGATAGGTGGCAGCAACGTTCACAAAAAGACAATTTTTCAATGCAATGGGATTTAACAGTCTGCCTTGAATCCTTAATTCTAAAGTGCTGTACAAATTGACCTTTACCTTTCCTAAATTGCCTTTCTACCTACTATTTGATTCTTAGTTGCAATATATTATATTATATTATATTATATTATATTATATTATATTATATTATAGTACATTATATTATAATATAATATTGTTTCTCTTAACAAGAACACAACAAGTATAGTATTCTCAGGGTCTCTATTCTGTATCTCATAGTTTACTTCTAGTCAATGTAGTTCTTACCTTGTAAAAAGGAGGTTTGGTCATTTAGAACACATTTAGCTTAATAAAATAGTTCTGCATTGCAACATTACCCTTGCAAAGACTTAAATTATTTTTATAGTACTAAGCAAAAATTTAAATAATGTACATTTAAATTTATTGACATGGGAATTTGCTCTAGGTATATTATTTGACAAAATGCAATTTATGAAACAGCTTGTATAGTATTAACTTGATTACATAAATATATACAAATAGAGAAAAAGTGCCAAAAAAGTGATGGTACCCATCCATATATTGGTAATAGCTGATGGTAGAGTAGCATGTGATTTTCATTTTCTTCTTTATGCCTTCTTGTTTTGTCTACAATTTGTATAAATAAGTTTTCAATTTATAATAAGAAAATTTTAATTTAAATATGTATAGGACATGATATATAAGGTATTTGTAGATTCAAATGCCAAAAAAAAATTGTAAACAATAAAATGCCAAAACTGTAATTTGCAGGCAATACCCAACAGCAAGAGATTTACGAGGTGAAGGAAATAAGAAGATAAATTGTAAGCCAAGACATGAGGCAGAAATGATGGACTGTTGACACAGAAAAAATTTATCAGATATTGTAAAATTGTTCATGTTTGCAACATAGAACTAGATTATGGAGCACCTTCAATGTTTTGGATAAGTTTTCACTTATTCCTATAAATAGTGAGGAACTGTAATGATGAGGGGTCAGTTACATAGAATAGATTTCATGATAGTGCATTTAGGTAAAAGGGGATCTACTAGGCATTTATCAGCTTACAGAATTGTTGGAAGGGATAGAAAAATAATGTATTCTGAGCTTTCTGGAATGATTCCGAAAGAAACACTGCAAAACTCATCACCAAGAGTCAGATGCTGCATGTACAGTCAAGAAGTAAATTGAAAAATCAGGAAGCTGGTGCTAATGCTGGAATCTCCAGAACCAGATTGACACTGCACAGTCAGGGAGCCACCACAATTTCAAAATTGCCATGTTAAGAAAGCCACCACTAATAAGAAGCCTCCATGAACAGGAAACTTCCTTACAACTTCTGGAAGCAGGCCATACCTGCCGAGACTAGAAAGTTGTGTTTCAGGCCTTGACTTCAAAGCCCATGAAACTAAAGATTACCTACTGGGACTTCTGATAATATTTCCACAGAATAAATCAGATGCTTGCAGCCCATGCTTGGTTCTAGAAAAATCGAAGGCAGCATAAGGATGAATTCTGTCTCCATTCTGCCATCTCCAGTCTGTCTTGCCAACATTGAATGCATCCCAACTCCAGTTGCAAAGAAGTCTGGGAAATGTAGTTTTTAGCTTTTCAGCCTCTGCTGTAAATGGCACACTAAAAGGGATTGGAATGGATGTTAAGCACCAATCTACTTTATCTCCTAAATAAGCACAAATGGTTTTTAAATGCAATGAAAGGGAAGAAAAATGTAGACCTAATCCTTGTACATACTGAGTTTGAAGTGGGTAAAATGGAATTCATTATTGTTTTATTCCCCCCAAAATGCCTCGCTATCTGAAATTTTTAGTTTCTATTAAAACTGCTATTATTCTACTATTTATCTCACTTAGAAATCTGTAAGTGTCCTGTATCTATGTGACATCCAAGAAGTATTTCTTAATAATATCAATGTTTCCCTACACTACAAAAATAGTGTGAACATATAACTAGTAAAACTGTCACCATAGAAATAACTCCTTATACTGAAAATTATAAGGTTAGCAAATTAAACCATTCTGACAGAGCTACTAATATCCTTTCTATAGCGGTGATTCCTCATCTTTTCTTCTGTCCCAAAAGACATAGTGGGAGTAACCAAAGTTACTAGAGAAGAGAGTATTTTTAAAGTAGTTTCAATTTAAAAGGGCCCTATTATGAAAGACCTGTGTGCCATGTTTGAGCATATTGCTGGTACTCGATAAATATTTAGTGATGAATGAAAAAATGAATCTCAAAAGTAATGAGACTCCATTAAAGTGTTTTAAGGGCCGGCCGAGTGGCTCAGTTGGTTAAGAGCATGAGCTCTGAGCAACAGGGTCACCAGTTCAATTCCCACATGAGCCAGTGAGCTGCACCTGAGCTGAGCTGCCGCTGAGCTGCCAACAGGTGGCAGGATGGCTCAGGTGCTGAGAGCACTTGCTCCTAACAACAAGGTTGCTGGTTCAGCCTCCACATGGGATGGTGGGCTGTGCCTCCCCCTCTCCCCCCAACCCCCCCAACTAAGATTGAACACGGAACCTGGAGCTGAGTGGCTGCAAGCTGCCATCAGGCAGCTGGATGGCGATTGGACTTGGAGCTGAGCTAGCTGTTCCCTCCACAACTAAGATTGAAGGACAACAACTTGGCTGTTCCCCTTCCCCAATTCCCCTATAAAACTCTTTAAAAAAAATGTACTTTAAAAAAAAAAGTGTTTAAAGCAGGGGAGTGACTTGAATAGATTGATTTTAAATGAAGCAGAGAAGAAAAAGAAGTCATTTAGTCTATCCTCTCATTTCATAGCTTAGGAAGCTGTGATCCCAGAGACATTAAATGGTTTGTTTAAGGTCTCAGAGCTGATGAGTGGCAAAATTGGCCTTTCTCCCTATGCCCAAACAATTTCTACTACATTTCCTTACTTACAAATTCATTATTTAACACCTAAAACATGAGATATCTATAAGAGGATTTCCATTGTAATGGTGTAATGGTGCAGTGACACAATGATGTTGGTAATTGCGGACAGGTCTAACTGGCTAATAATGTTTCAGCAAGATTTTTGTATTTTGTAGTTTTCAAAGGGGTGTGAGTGTGTGTGTATGTGTGTGTGTGTGTGTGTGTGTGTGCGCATGCTCTTTTTCTTTTTTTTTCAGGGAGACAGTATTTGAACTTTGATATATTAAGGATTAATTTGACTTGCAAGTCAGCAAACCAAAGCCACTTACAGAGGTTGATGAACTGGTTTTTCTTTAATTTTGCTTATTTTTTAAAGGTAAGAACGATATAATTAACTAGAGGATTATTTCCCCAAATAATTATTTCTCAAAATTTTACGTTCTTATTTTTTAAAGAGGCGTTCTTTTCTCCCTTGCAACTCTTTGGCCATAAAGCCAGAGATTGGTGTTCTCATATTACAGGCACCGCTGACTCCCAGCATCTTCCTCACTCCCTGCTCTTTCTCAGTTGTCTTTTTTCTTTTCAACTTCCTCTCTGTGTTCCACCAGCTAACCCGATGCCAAGAAGGTGGATTAGGTCACTTATCAAATCAAGAGGTTTCTTGTGTTATTCAACTTATTTTCTTATTACATTGAAACTAAAAAATGGTGTGGCTTCATCTCAAAAAAGTTAAGTTGGACTTAGATTTTATCATGTGAAGTTTTGGGTAATAGGAAGCAGGTCTCAACTTAATAATATAAAAGCAAGGCAGCGATTGTGAATCTTCAGCTCCCAATTTCTGTTTCAAACCATTTTCATTTGGATGACGTACCTGAACACTCCTCTCTAGTTTATTAATAATCCATTTGTATTGTTGTGCCTCGCTTTGCAGACAACATGGCTTCCCTTTCCTAGTGCTGTAGATCCAGTAGATGTGGGAATCCATACTGCTGGAGAACACCATGTGGTCTCTCCATTAGAAAAGGAGGATCAGACTAGAGGTTCCTGGCTTGCTTTGATTTCTGAGAACAGGCTGTTCTAACTGCAGAGAATGCTCAGGCCTGAGCTATACTAAATCAAGAGTTTTTCTGAAATATTGAGGGTGAAATAGGAAATGGTGGAACTTCTCAGAATCCCTGCACAACAAACCAGAATTCCTTCCAATGTTCCCTCCCCAACCATCATTCCTTTCACAATGTTGAGCCAAATCTAGTCTTTGAAGGACCATTTTCCACATGTATTTTGCCCCAGTGTAGCTCTGTAAATCTCACTAAGTAACTATAGGAACCCCCACCTATGCATCACAGCATCAGTGATCCACAGCTCAGAAAGCATAAAAGAACAAAATAAAAGTTTGGAAATGTATACTTTTCTCTGCCAGACATATTTTGCCAAACATCCACTGGTAACCCACAAACTCAAAATACTGTAAACAGAGTGAAAGCTTCCATTCTCTCTTAACTGTGTTTAATACTTAGTGGACCATCAAAATGGGCATGGGATAAGGGGCTAAAAATTTAAACAAAGCTTGATCCTGAAATACAGCAGAAATAATCCTTATAAAATTGTCCTGTGAAGTAATTTTTAGTGAAGTGGAGTTAATTCAAGTCATGTCTTCTGGGGATAAAAATGGACAGCAGTTAAAAAAAAAAAGTGGAAGAAAACAAATGTGACCCCGATGTCTCCTCTAATGCTCTAATCTCCACATCGTTTCCTTTCATCCTCTGGTGATGTTAATCTTCTGTTTATTTTGCTACTGTAATACTAAGTACCTGTAGGTAACCCAGAGATTGCTTTCTCAAAGTTGGTCTCTGCCTGTTTTTTCTTACCTCATAAAAAGGAAAAAAAGTGTGTGTGTTTGTGTGTGTGTGTGTGTGTGTGTGTGTGTGTGTGTGTGTGTGTGTCCCCTGTTGGTGGTTTAAAATCGTGTTGGGACTTCCTCTTTGAACAGTTGCCTTTTCCTTTCACACAAGAGAGATCTCATTTTGTTTCAGACTGTATACAGTTGAAACCAAACCACACACCAACGAGAGGGTATGATGGCTAACAAGCCCCCAAAACCAGCCCCTCGCAGGATCTTCCAGGAAAGGTTAAAGATTACTGCTCTGCCCTTATACTTTGAAGGTTTTTTATTAGTCAAGCGGTCAGAATACCAGGTAAGTCCAAAGATGATAATGTTAAACTAGAAGCTTCTGTCTTCACATAGCATTTATTTCATGGTGATGTGATATGACAAGGGCCTCCTTGTTTCTGTAGGGATTAAACCCTCTTCCTTTAGTTCAGAAATATTATTCCAATTTTACATAATTTAAATACAATGTATGTCTTAAGTACATGTGTGTGTGTATATATATATATATATATATATATTATATATATATATATATATGTATTGTATATAATAACAAGTTTCTAATATTGTCACTAATGCTAAAACATTCAATAAGTTAAATTTCCAAAGAGGTCATTTAAACATTACAGAAGATTTGGGTTTAGAAGACGAAATGTTTTCTGTCTTTTCTCTGCAGTTTAGCACTATGCTTCCATGATGACATATGAATATATCTTTAAGATAAAATATTATAATTGAAATTAAACCTTCTGCTTCTATTCTCAGTTGTTCAAAGTTTATGAATAATGGTCAAATTATTTTTTAAAGTGGTAAATGTTTGTAAAAAATTGTGAAAATGATAACATTTATACTGTTTAACACTATGTATAATAATATGTTCTAAAAACACTGTTCAAGATAGTGACTTTAAAATATAATACTTAGGGTGCTCTGTGGATAGTATGTATACTATGCAACATAAATACATTCACTCTAAGAAAATTCTTAAAGTATTTCATACTTTTAAAATGTAAAAATGAAAACTTAGTTAAAATGAGTGCTTTTAAAATAGCAATTGTGAATAAAATTAATGATAAATATTGAAATTAATGAAAGAAATAAACATGAAGTACCTGTTACTAAAGAAAAAAAAAATCACTAACTTAGGTCAAATTTTATGAAATTTTAATATTAACTGAAACTAGAAAAAATTTAAGTGTTTTGATAAATGCCAGAAGAAATGTTTAATAGTGATAATAAAAATATGTTTTCTGAGGATTTATTAATATTAAGAAAAAAATGTGTATTTAAAATACCTATAATAGCACATATTCCTTCATACATAATCAGATAATTTACTCTTTGAGAGTAAAGACATGGTCATTTCTAATGAGTGCTAAACATGTATTAATAATATTTATCAGTTATATTGAATGTTTTTTGGGAGACCCTATATGCTTTATTTTTTTCCCCCTCCCTGATCCTAAATGCTTGAAAAGTTAATTCAGTCATGTCATCAGGAGTTAGCCACATTGTTACACTTTGCCAGGAAAGAGAAGTTGGGAAAAAAGAAATTTGTAATTTAAATTTGGTTAATCGTTGAATGTTTTCCAAAGTATTTATAATAACTGTTTCTGACATCAAGTTCCTTTTAATGTTTAAAGAAGGCATTTAATTGGTATGATTAGCAGAAAGAACAAGGATTTTAGAGTGTCAGTAAAACATGACTACCTGATGGTTTTTGCTACTCACAGCTTGTGATCTTATACAAGTTGCTCAATGTCCTTGAGACTCAATTTCCTCAACTATAAAATGGAGAGACTACGATTTGCCTCCTAAGGTACAATGCCAGGGATACAGTAGGTGCTCAATCTACTCATTCAAGCAACCTCTATTGTGTATCTCCTATGCACCAAGCAACACACTCAGTTCTGGTGAATATGAATAAAACACCAAGACCCTACTACCTCCAAGAGCAAGGAAAGATGACTCCTGTACCTGATTGTTACTATATCTTTTCTTAGAAAGCGTGCTTTGAAATGGAAAGAATAAACTATAGACATCAATATTTCTGATGAAATTAACTTGTGTTTCCACTTGAATTTATAGCAAAGTATCTTTTACTTGTATGTCAGGGAGAAGAGAGCAAGAGGAGGAGAATAATGTCTACTAATAGGGTGGTTTCAAGGGTTAAAGGGATAATATATGCAAAACACCTGGCTTATACCAAAGATTAGATTCATTCTCTTCCCATTTCATTATTTGTCACATTCTTAACATACTAAAATCAGTTTTGAGTTCACAATATGACTCAAAGGAGAGCCACAGTGATAAATTGCTTGAAAATAGAAGCTATGAGATAAAGCTAAGGAAAACAATGGGATTTCTAGGCCAAGTGGCCGAAAAATGGGACCGTTTTGTTGGTGACAAGGCATAGAGAGGAACTTCACTGGATTTGGCATTTTCACTAGTTGCATCAATGAGAAAGAGCACTGGGGAGCCAAGAGATACAGATATTAGTTCAACTATGGAATTTGGGCAATTCCTTTAAGTTTTTTAATCTGTTTCCTCTTTTGTAATATGGATAATTACTCCCTTGCATAATTAATGGATTGCTGTGATGATCAAATGGACTATATAATAATGGGTCTATTTTCTTTAGGTGTTGACATATGACAGATATCATGCCAGGCTCTTAATGTCTTGTCACTCTTATCATTATAGTAACTCCTCTGGCTAGAAATTATTTTATCCCCTTCACAGATGTGTGAGTTGTGGCTCACAGAGGTTATGGTCAAGGTCCCTCATCCATTAAGCAGCCTACATTGGATTTTATTACAAAACATTCAATATCATGCTACCTTCCAAACTAAAGTTTTAATTCCATTTGATTGTGGGCTTACAAAGGTTGGGGATGTCTAATCACAAGATTCTTTGATCACACTGAGCTCAACAGTAAGTTCAGTAGACTTTCAAAACATTTGTTTATTGAATGAAAATGAGATAATGACCTTAAACTCTAAATTTAAGGTCACCTAGTGATTATGAAGTTAGCAATAAATTCAAAAGTCCCATTTCAGCCCCTTTTCTTTTTTTTTTTTAAGATTTTTTTTTTTAATTGGGGAATTGGGGGATGGGAACAGCACTGGGGAATTGGAGGAAGGGGAACAGACAAGCTGCTGTCCTTTTGTTCTTCAGTCTAGTTGTGGGGGACGTTGCTTCACTGGCCCAAGTTGGCACCATCATTGCGCTCTTCCCAGGTGAGGCAGATCAGTCGCCGGCTTCTGGATGGCCGCTCACGGCGGCTGCTGGCCAGTCACAGCAGCTGCTGGCCGCTCACGCTGGCTACTGGCTACACACGGTAGCCCATGGCAACCCACTGCAATAGGAACTGCAGCCTACTCCATTGCCTGCAACTCACGGCAGCCCAGCTCCAGGTTGAGCTGTTGTTCAGCATCTTAGCTGTAGAGGACAGTGTCACTGGCCCTCGTATGTGGGATCCGAACCGGGGCCCTCTGGCGTCCCAAGCCAGCTCTTAACCATCGCGCCACTCGGCCGGCCCTCAGCCCCTTTTCTTACTTCAGTGATTCAACACAAATGATTACTAAAAATAAGAAACTTTGTGCTAAATGCATTTCATTCAAAAATGTATTTCACTTAAAATATTTACAGACTTCTATAAATATAAATATACACCTAGATGTTAATTATTGAGTGATATTTATAGATGACTCAGCTTATACTGATATACATGAGAGCTTTTCAGAAACTAAATCAAGACTGTGACCTTGCATACCTAATGTAAGTTTCATCTGTTATTAGATTTGTAGCTGTAGTTGGAGTTCACAGGGCCTATTGCTATTTGTCATCTTATTTTTCCTCCTGACTGCCTTTACTTTCAATTCAGTTCTAGCTTCTTCTCCCTTTTAATAAATCCCCCTTAATTCTTTCCACAAATCTGTATGTTTGTTTAGTAAAACTCCCATTTTCCCCTAGTTAACTCTACCAGATGCCTATTATCCTGTCTGAGCACCTCTGTAATTTTTCTCAGGAGCAGAGGTGGATGTCTGCTTGTACACGCAGAAGGAAATCAATAAATCTTGACTGGCTATTAGTGATTTTAGCTTTTCCATCTGATGGTAGGTTAATACTAATGAGGCTAATTAAAAAGATGAAGAGAGTGGTAGACTTGGACTTCCAGGTTTTCTCTTGCTTTCCTTTCCTCCAAGAATCAAAGTCTCGAGTTTGGACTTGATCTTAGATGCTGTATATCAGTCAAACTACACAACCTGTGATTAAGTTCTCTAGCCAATATACCCGCACTCCGATGTCCTCCTCAAGTTTCCCTCACGGCCATCCTAGTTCCCAAATACAGTGTAGCCTTGACTTGCCTCCTGCACTGAGAGGCTTATCACTTAGGCAGGACGTGAAAGCCTTAAAAAAAGCGAGATGATTAAAAAGAAGAAACAGCTGCCAAGATAACTTTGAATTGTTTTATTACTTAATCTCAAGTCAAAACTGAGCAAGTTCAAGAGAATTTTTCAACTAAGTGATTAGACACTTTCACGGTTTTTACAAAACATCTGCTTGATCTCAGAGACAGTATGTATTACTAAATTCTCAAGCCATATTTCTCAATGCAGTTTTCTATTGCTTTATTTAAGATAATGTAAAAGGGTGACTTCTATAGGAATGACATTATTCAGGTTAGCAAAATGCTCTTTTCTTTTCATACCTAATCCCATTGAAAGAGATCTACTTTAGAGAGTTTTAGATGTCACACTATCACTCAGACATACAAATCACCATGTGGAAAAAGTATTATAAGGATAATGAAAATGCACAGTACCTATTAATAGTGTAAGTAAGGAAGCAATGCTTTTTTTTTTCCTTGTAGTGCCCAACTTTTACGGAACACTTGTTATGTTCCAGGTCCTATGTGCTTTACATGCATTATTTCATTCACTCCTTCAACAACTCTTTGAGGCATAGGAGGAGGCTGGTTTCTCTACTTTTATTCTTGGTCCCTTAACAGTGAACTCTCACACAGGAAACACAATAATTATTATTATTACTATCATCATCATTATTATTACAATTCAGTGGGTTTTTGTTTTTGGTTTTTTTTTGGTTTTTTTTTTAAAGATTTTATTGGGGAATCGCGGGAAGGGGAACAGACAAGATGCTGTTGTTTTGTTCTTCAGTCTAGTTGTGGAGGATGTTGCTTCACTGGCCCAAGCTGGCACCATCATTGCGCTCCTCCCGGGCGAGGCAGATCAGTCGCCGGCTTCTGGACGGCCGCTCACGGCGGCTGCTGGCCACTCATGCTGGCTGCTGGCTACACACAGTAGCTTATGGCAGCCCACTGCAGCAGGGGACTGCAGCCCATGCTGTTGCCGGCAACCCATGTTAGCCCAGCTCCAGGTCGAGCTGTTGTTCAGCATCTTAGCTGTAGAGGGCAATGTCACTGGCCCTCATATGTGGGATCCGAACCGGGGCCCTCTGGCATCCCAAACCAGTTCTTAACCAACGCGCCACTCGGCCGGCCCTCAGTGGTTTTTAATATGTCCACAAAGTTGTGCAACTATCACCACTATCTACTTCTAGAATATTTTCATCATTCTAAAAAGAAACCCCATCAGCAGTTATTTCTACCCTGTCACCCTGGATATTTTTATACTCATTTATTGGGGCTTTTCCTCTCCCAAACTTGAAACCAATTCAGTATTCAGACACAGGGATCACACAAACGAAGATCCATTACTTTACTTTTATTATTATTAAAATCTGTCAATATGTGGTTTGGATTTAAGACGAAAACTGTGCTAACACTTGACCCCAGATTTAGGTAGCTTTGATCTGCCTTGAGTCACTGACTCAGTTTAAGAGCCATAAGCCTGCTCCTCTTGCAAGCCCTTTGCCACATGGCAGGGAACAGGGCAGAACAGCCACTCTCTCCTGGTAGGCTGAGCAGGGAGGACACAGGAACGGGCTAAGTTGAACATACAGCCTCCCAAACTTACCTATCAGATACTCAGTCCTACTCTCTGGCAGCACTGTGGAGAATAGATTGGAGGCTGTAAGGAGGCGGCAGAGAGACCAGGTTAAAGACAATTGCAATGTCAGTAATTCATTGCATCCTATACGAAAAGAAGAAAAGACTTCTGATGAGGCTAAAATTAAGGTCTCCTTTCTTGCCTTATTAAACTGCTAGACTCTAAGACATGTCACATACATAGTGGGCATCTGAATTTCAGACAAGAGGCAGAATCTCTGCCCAGTTTAATAACTGCTTCTTTGGGGACCATCGATTGGCTGTTCCTTCAATCTTATGTCTTTTTTAATTGATCTTTTCTATGGTAATTCATTCTTGGTCAGGAGGCATCAGCAGGTTCATTATATTACATTATTGCCAGCTCTCAATGGGGAAGGTAGGATAGACTGGAAAGACCATGGGGCTCAGACAAAGAAACCTTGCCCCAAGTTCCCACTCTGCCCCAGAGGTAGATTGCTGCAGTGATACTACCAATTTGTTCAAGCACCTCTATATGCATGCCCCTTTGAAATGGGACTTTTTGCTCCTTCCTTAAAGAGGTGAGTCTAGTTTTCTACCACTTGAACCTGGACTGGGTCACAGTTTGGTCAACGTGACAAAAGCAGAGGATCAGAAACTACTCGCACATTGTGTTTTGTTCTCTCTTGCTCCTGGAAATCGTTCTGCCAGCATGTGAACAAGTCTAGGCTAGCTGGAGAATGAGACCATGAGGAGGGCAACTTCAGGTGTCTCACGCGGTGTTTTCCAACACCAAAAGCCAATTCTCTGATTTTCTGGACACCAACTGGTTGTTGAAAAATTTAGTTCAATTCTGCAACTAAATACCTATCCAGATTTAGTGCAGACTCCACAGCTTAATTAAATGGCTCCATCCCACAAGACTGGCACCCCCACCCCGCCACTTCAGTGATCAGCTGCAAGGCCTCATAGTTAGAAGTCTCATACTTCTAACCGATTGCCTATAAATCAGGCTTTCCCGCAATCCCCTCCTAAGATCTAACCATTTACTAGAATGGCTCACAAAACTCAGGAAGACACTTCACTTACATTTACTGGTAAGGAATACAAATGAACAGCCAAATGAAGAGATACATAGGGCAAAGCCTGGAAGGGTCCCAAGCACAAGCGCTTCTATTCCTGTGGAGTTGGGGTGCACTGCCTGCCCTCTTAGCATGTGGGTGTTCACTCATTAGGAAACTCATCAAATGTCATTGTTCAAAAGTTTTTATAAAGCTTAATCTCCAAGGCCCATCCTCCTCCCACCCTTCCTGGAGGTGGGTGGGTGGGACTGTTCCAACCCTCTAATCATTTGTTCTTTTGGGGACCAGATCCATCCTGAAACTCTCCATGAGTCCCATCTTACGTCACCTCATTAATATAAGCTCAGGTATGATGTTAAGGGACTGATTATGAGTAACAAAAACACTCATCACTCAGGCTTTAGGATCTCTATGCCAGGAACTGAGGGACAAAGACAAAATATATTTCTTATTATACCACTCCCATTCATTCTCCATTCCCAGCTCAGACCCCAGGTTTGTGAATGAGGCCAACCTAGACCATTCGGCCACAGCCAAATATACCCAGATCCAAATAATCATCATCCAGCCACAGAATGCTGAAAAATGGAAAACATTTGCTGTTTTAGTCCACTAAGTTTTAGGGTAGCTTGTTACACAGCAAAAGCTAACCAATACAGCACCTTAACAGCTGTGAAGACTAAGGGAGAAAATAGTTCTACTAAGAAATGAAAAAGATAGGTGTTATAAATCAAAATGAATTTAATCTTGAGCTTCCTGGGAGCCAAGGCAAATAAAAGCAATAGATTATAGAATTACCATTGTTTGAGAAAATAAGTATATAAATTCTAAAGCGGTGACAAATATTTTGCTGGTCAAAAAGGGACAAAGGAGGGCCAGCCAAGTGGCACATTGGTTAAGAGCTGGCTTGGGACGCCAGAGGGCCCCGGTTCGGATCCCATATATGGGGGCCAGTGACACTGCCCTCTACAGCTGAGATGTTGAACAACAGCTCAACCTGGAGCTGGGCTGCCATGAGTCGCTGGCAACAGCAGGTGGGTTGCCATGTGCTACCATGTGTAGCCAGCAGCCAGTGTGAGCGGCCAGCAGCCGCAGTGAGTGGCCGTCCAGAAGCCGGCAACTGATCTGCCTTGCCCAGAAAGAGCGCAATGATGGTGCCAAGTTGGGCCAGTGAAGCAACGTCCTCCACAACTAGACTGAAGAACAAAATGACAGCAGCTTGTCTGTTCCCCTTCCCCCAATTCCCCAATTAAAAAAAAAAAAGTACAAAGGATAGGTCAGTATTAAAGAGACACAAAATACCATAATATATAAAAGAGTCTTCACATTTATAATCAAAAGAAAAAATTTTCTTCATGTGACTTTCTTACATTAATCATCAATATAAGTCTAGATAAACCAATATGATACAAAATTCAGCTTATTAAACCCTAAAGAAAGGAATGATCAACATGTCCATGAAACTGACTAGAATATTTTTAAATATACTTTTTAAAAGAGCTGGGTATGAAGGTAAGTCTTTAGATGTGGAAGGATTTTATTCTTTAAGCCCCTTTGCTATTCTCTTGTAATATAGACAATCTTCATAGAATGTAAGTTCCCCTTATTTAAATAAACTTTCACTTGAGTGAAATGAGAGTCTGACTAGTTTATTTAAATTTTTTAAACTTAAAACATTGCATTTCTATAGAACCCATAGTAATGTGAATGTATTACTAATGAAATATTCACCACATGAATAAATTTGGACTTCAAAGCTCAGCTTTGATGGTGTTAAATTACTTTTATCATTATCAATTGCTCACATTTCCTTGATCTATTTAAATATATACTATTTATTAAACCCAAAGCATGAGTCATGTATTATGCTATGTGCTTTATATGTGTTAATGTATTCAATCCTTTCAAGTGTCCTGGAAGGTAGATATTAAATGCTTGTCCTATGTCCTATCTTGGCCCCTTAAATGGCCCCTCTTATAGGTGCAAGCTACCTCTGAAATGGTATAAAATGTTAAGTGCCTTCAATAGACAAGAAAAGTTTTGGAAAATAATCTATCTGAACACAAATTGAATTACATCCTTAACTCACACCTTATACTAAAATAAATTTGTGCAATATTTAATCAAGAATTAAGTGTAAAATTAAGCCATAAAAATTAGGTGATTTACCTCAAGGTAAAGAAGACTCTCAAATCACATGACAATCAATTCAGAAAGTTACAAAGGAAAATATCAATAAAAAATAGAGAATATACACTGATGTTTATGATTTCTTTCCCACAGGAGTATAAACACTATTGGACAGAGTTGAGAGGAACTACACTTTTCTTTTATAATGACAAAAAAAGCACAATAGTAAGTATTTAAATATGTTTATCTGATTACATTTTTTTCCAATATACATCTGTCATATAGGTTATTATTCATGTGAAATTATCTGTCTTCCAACAGTAAAGATATTCTAGTAAAACCAATTCAAATGAGAACATTTGTATCTGTGAAGGCTATCAATGATAAGACTCATAGGTAAATTTTCTGAGCAATTCAGAAGAAGATATGAACTCATATTTTTAACTTTGGATTCTTTTTTTTTCTGATCCTGATAACAAAATTTGGTTGAAAAATGAACATTTTAGCTATATACCGTATTTTCCCATGTATAAGATGCACCCTTTTTAAAAAAATTTGGGATCTAAAAACTGGGTGCGTCTTATACAGTGGTTGTAGTTTTTTGGGTTTTTTTAACTTTCATTTCTCTCTTTTTTCGTGCTTGTTTTTGTGCTCATAAAACCACTGTATAAGATGCATCCAGTATTTAGACCCCAAAATTTTTAAAAAAGGGTGTGTCTTATACATGGGACAATACGGTATCTGGATACAAATTATATAATACCAAGTGATAGCCTTATTCCATCACTTTTTATCTTGCTGTAGCATGCAGTTAGAATCTGAAAGGAACTTAGATGATCCCCAAAGCCTCAAAACATACAATATGTCACAATATAATTTTTCTGGAAAGACAAAAACATACCCCACTAAACAGGACTTCTAAGAGCTCAAGCATGAGAAAAACAATAAAGAGATTCTGAGATTTATTTATTCATATTAATTTCAAATAATTGATTTGTATTTCATTGTTTCCACAAGTAAAATGTAGTATTTTAGTAGCAAATGCTTGCCTACCTTGGAATGCTATGCTTATAAGATAGTTTATGATCTAGTAACTTGTTTAAATAAAAACATTTTGGCCCATGGGTGTAGTAGCCCACACTCTTTAGAAAATCATCATTATATTTCCAGATAAAAAAAAAAAAACAGAAAAAAAGCCTGTATAATGTATTCTACCTACAGGCATTTTAGCACCATCAGTGGTAAACTAACCAGAAGTCATTTAAAAGAAAACACAAACAAAATGGTCATCTTTCACCTGAGTTCTGGATAGGCAAAATTTATATAAAGGTGTTTTCAAATATCATAATAAATTTTAACAAAACTAATTTTTCTTTGTGCCCTCCAACTTCTCACTGATGCCAATAAAAATGTAAAAACCCTGGTCTACACCTTGTGTAACACTTATAAGTGAGAAAGTTAATAGTTACTGCTCACTTACTACATGGCAAGAGGCAGCACAGCTTGGTGACTGTGAGCCTGGTTTTTGTGCAGACTACCTGGGTTTTGAACCTGGCCCTGTCACTGTTCACTGTGTCAGCTTGGGATCTTGGGCTACTAACCTGATCTCTCTGTGTCTCAGTGTCTCAGACAGGGAACTGCTAGGAAAGAGATGACATCTCAAATTGGGCAATTTAAAGAGAGTTTTATAAAGATGCAGTCCTCAAAGCAGTGGATAAGATGTAGGAAAACCACACAGGGTAGTACAGAACCGTGAGGCTACTAACAATGCCCCATCACCATGCCTCAGTAAAGGAAAGAGTGAGAGAACAGTGGGGGAAGGTGTGTGAAGATGACCGCCTTGCAAGGAATATGGTCTTTGATTGAGGAAGCAATCGCAGAGGGTAATGGATACCTGACTTCACTCTGCTCACTCTCTGGTCTGCCAGTGGTCAGCAGGCCAACCCAGCAGGAAGTCAGAGGGTGAGGGTACCCAGAGCGTTGTCCATATATGTCCATATCCTGGTGCACAGTGTTGGGTGTTGAACCTAGAGGAGCAAATGAAAGGTTTCCAACACACTCAGTTCCAAGTCGCTAAAATTAGGATGAAAACCGTAGCTCATCTCAGAAGGTTATCAAAAGGATTAAATGAAATGGTAAATGTAAGGCACATAGTAAGCACACATGCATTTTACATACATTATCTTATTTAATTCCCACAACAACTCTGCAGAGTGGGTACTATTTTAATGCCCACTTTTGGATGAGAATAGTCAAGTTTAAAGATTCAGAAATTGTACAAGATCAGACAGCTCATGAAAGGGATACAATCCAGATCCTGTTCCTGAGCCAGCATTCTTAACCACTATGCCATGAAGAGGCTGTTAAAACGAAATGCTGCCGAATTGCCATCTACCAGTTTTGTTAAAAGGAGATGTAGAAGACTTTTTGGGAAATAGTCTCAGGAGAAAGCATAGAGCTAGAACAGGTGAGAACTGTAGACATTTAGCCTATAGTAGGGAAGATTTTAAAACTGCGTTTAAATATTTGAAAGACTGTCAGGAAGCCATGTGAGAGAGTCACTGAATTTGTTTAATTTTATTACAGAGAAAAGGGACGAGGACCATTGCTAGGAGAAAAACTGTAGCTTAATATAAGAAAAAACTTGCTAGCAGGCAAAGCTGCATAGGAGGCGTGAGTTCCATGCTCTTTGAGGTGTCCAAACACAAGCTGGATGGCTACATGGAGGGTTAGCTTGGAGGAGATGCAGGCATCAGATGGCAGTTAGATTGGACAGATGACCTTCAAGGCTCTTTCAACATTACAATTAGAAGCAACGATATGACTTCCTATTTTCTCATCAATAGTGCAGTTTACAGACACTCTATCTAACGGGGCCATTTCTTCCTCTGTTGCTTCCTCCTTTGTCTCAGCAAAATTCACTGAGCTTGATCTAGACAATCTGTCAGAAAAAAAGATTTTTGTGCAATTTTAAATTTTGTCCTCATTCCCTTAGACCTCTCTTTCCCTGTTTAATTGCTCTTTGTTCACTGAAAATAAATAAGTCAACCCAACTTACCCCCAACCTCATTAATATGGGAATAGCTCTGGAAAAAAATTATTTATTATTTTTATGCCCTACTTAGAAAAATAAGGAGACTTACAAGAACATAATAAAACAAGTTATATTGGGTATAACAAAGAGGAAAATAAAACGAGATAAAAAGAAGTACAAATTGAGGTTAATTTAGCAAAAAATTATTAAAAACCCTACTATACTTACTAGAGGTAGTCCTAATCTTTCTAATACTGGAGAGCAAGTCTGGCTAGTTGCACACAGATCAGTGTTTATAGATTAAATGCTCAGAAGAAATTTTTTTAAAAATTTTTTTATTGTTAGTTTCAGGTGTACAGAACAATGCAATAGTTATCCTTTTCACCCTCAGAAAGTAACAACCCCCATCCCCCCATGTATTGCCCTCCCACCCCCGATATCATACTTATCTATTACCTCAGAAGAAATATTTTTATCTTACAAGGATAAGATAGGTGTTAATATTTCTTAATAGGATCCTCATAACCAGTGGTATGTGGTAAATGTTCAGTAACAGTGTATGTATGAATATATGCCTATTAATTTATTATAAATATTATTTACATAAAGAATGTGTAGCACACAGTTAAAACAATAAAATAGACAATACTCTGTATTGTAATTTCCATATAAGCAATTGACTCTCATAGAATGCTTTCATTGATTTTTTTGAACACATATCCATAGTCAACTGTGATTACAATTCAATCATGATATGGCAAATGGAGTTATTTTTAATCTATTTCCCTAATAAATTTCTTATCATTAAATATGATATTTGGAAATATTGGCTAATATTTTTATTCATTTATATTAACAAATAAGAGGAAAGTAAAACAACAATTATGTATGTCAAAACTTTACCTATTTGTTAATGACGTGAGCAACTTCTTCGCTGAATAACAGTGCTTGAATTATACAAGACTATTTTGTCAACTTTTCAATCTGTTCAAAATGAAAAAGCTCCAGACACGACAAACTTTAAAGTTTCATCTACATTATTAACGTTTCTCTTTCACTTCCTTAAGTCTAGACCAGAAGCCAGCAAACTATGGCCCTTGAGCCAAATCTAGCTCGTGGCCCAATTGCATATTGTCTCTGAACTAAGACTATTTTTACACTTATAAAGTGTAAAAAATCATATTAAAAAAGAGGAAGAATTTGCAACAGAGACTTTATGTGGTCCACAAAGCCTAAAACATTTACTATCTGGCCTTTACAGAAAAAAATTGCTGGCCTCTGGGACAAATAGCAAAACTATAAACCAAGCCCTGATTTGTAAGGTTTGCCAATTTCCATGGTGTAAATACTTCTTCCGTGACTGATTTCAATTTATCAATGTGATCTCACTGAACATGGAGGTGGGAAGAGGGTACAGGAGCATATAGTATTTCCACCACACAGAAATGAAGATACAAATGGCCTTAAGAACAAAGAGAATAGTATGTAGTAATATAATCAGAAAATAATAAATTTTGAATTTTACCTTTGTTTTTAATTTAATTTATTTACTTATATGTTTATGTAATTTAACTTTTAGTAATGTCTGTGTTTAACAGCTGGCTAGAAATATTCCTGAAAATTTAACAAATTGGCTTTTGCAAACCTGTATGAACCAGTTCCAGCCCACATAATTCCATTTCCAAATGGCCTCTGGGTTGGGAAGGGGTGACACACTGAAAACCAGGATATCGTGCAAAGTTCACATCAGTTGAAATGAAGATATTACTTACTTTCCTTCCTACTAAAAGTAATGCATGTTACCCATGAAATAATTTAATGAGATCTCCTTTTATCTTTGCAGTATGTTGACAAATTAGACATAATAGACCTCACATGTCTTACTGAAAAGAATTCAACTGAAAAGAATTGTGCAAAATTCACCCTTGTTTTGCCAAAAGAAGAAGTGCAACTGAAGGTGAGTGAGGAGAAGCACTTAGTCTGAAACAAGTTGTGGTTATAAATAGCATTCACCTCTTCGCAGCCCAGTGGCTGAGGTAAAGAGGAAATTATAGGAGGAGAGCCAAGTCCTATACTTTGTCAATATTTCTTGCCTTTTGCCAAGAACTACAGTTTTCTAAAGAGGGATTTAAAATGGCATGTTCACTTGTTTAGTATACAAGCACATGAAACTTCCGTCCTCTGGCAAAGTCAGAGATCACACCTGGTGTTTTTTAAAAGCTGTCCTTGAATTGGTATTCAAGAACTTGGTGTTGCCCAAGTTCCTAGATGATTCTAAGACATGTCTAATGTGATAACAGGTTTGGAACTACTGAATTAGACAAACCCATATTTCACAAACCGAGAGACATTCTGCAAGGCAATTGGCCTATACCGTTAAAAAATACTGGTGTAAGAAAAGCCAAAGAAAGACTGTTCCAGTTACAGAGACTATAGAGTCATAACTAAATGCAATGTGTGATCTAGGTTGGATCCTGAATTAGAAAAAAAAAAAAACCCAACCAACCAACCAACAGACCAAAAAAATCCCAAAAGATCTAAAGAACATTATTGAGACAATTAGAAAAATTTGAACAAGAATTGTATAATAGATATACACAACTTGAGAAATATTTTATTAATCTAGTTAAACACCACACAGGCAGAGATCTGTTTGTTAAACTTACCAACTGTACACCCAGCATTCAGAGTGAACCAAATAAAGTCAACCAACAACTATAGTAATAACAAAGAGAACAACTTGAAATTGAATAAGGTGTAGTTGGAATTGACCCTGAAAACACTGGTCATTAAGCCCTAGAGTCCTAAGAATCACTTGTACTTCAGAAATCCAGGCCCCACTCTATAAACCTGAGGCCCAGGATCTACATTTTAAGCAAGCCCTCAAATGATTCTGATGTGGTGGTTAAGGGCACAAGATTGGAGTTAGATGCCTAGGTTGAATACTGGCTGTTTTATTCATCAGCTGTGTGATCATAGGCAAGTTACTTAACCTCTCTGTGCCTTGGTTTCTTCACCTGGAAGTAAGTTTGGTCAGATGTAACCCTCTTATTGAGACCTACCTGGACTACTTTATTAAAATAGCAGCACTTTTTCCCTTCTTTAACCCCTAGTGGCGTTCTCAATCTCTCTAACCCTGCTCTACATTTTATTTTCCCATTTATTTCCTTCTGACTCTATAAAATTTACTCACTATTATGTTTATTATTTATTATTCCTTGCTAGACACTAACCTCCATGAGAACAAGGATTTTTTGTTTTGGTCTCCAATGTAAACCAGTACCTAGATTGTGCCTAGTGCTAAAAGGCACTTAATAAATATATGTTAAATCAATAAATCTGTAAAATAAAAAAAATAATAGTACTTTTTGCAGAGTTGCCATGAAAATTAAATCAGTTAATACATATGAAGTGCTTAGAATAGTAGCTGCCACTATAAGCACTTAATATATGTTGGCCATATTAGTTTTTAGAGCTAAGAATTGAAAGTTTCTAAGGACTAACTAACTACAGTGGTTCTACCTAGTTGCCCCAAGCTTGAATGAAGCCAGTCAATGTTAAATACCAATGAATTGACATACTGGAGAAATAAATGTGCTAACATTTACATTTTTTTTAATTAAGTACATTTGTACAATTGTACTTGTTCAGTAAGCAAACAGATTAAAGCTATATACTTCTGTCTTCTGACAAAAAAAAGCAGTATTGAAATGTTTCATAACAAATACACATTAACACACAAAAAGAAAAATTATTTCTTCCTTTCAACTGATTCTAAGTGGTTTAAAAAATTACAATTGACTTTTTAAAAACAATGTTATTCAATAGAAGAATATGCATTTTTGTCAATCTTGCAGATTTTGATGGCTTACATATTTTGAGTCTTACAAAACAATCGTGAAATTCTGAGGCTATTTGAAGTTAATAAAAGCATTAATGTTCATAGTCATTCATGTCTTTTCTTTGTCTTTATCTGTTTTTACCTTCCTCTTTAGACAGAGAACACAGAAAGTGGAGAAGAATGGAGAGGCTTCATTCTTACAGTAACAGAGGTAGGAAGGACATTACTTTTGGTTGATTCATTCATTCAAGAAATATTTACTGAACACTTACTATGAACCATGCAGAGTAAAAGGGGTTGAAGACATAGCAATTGAAAAAGAGATATAAACTTCATACTTACTCATGAAATTTGTGTTTTTATCAGGTGGGTGGAGAAGAAATAAAATAAACAAGTAAACAAAGTAATTTTAAATTGTGGTAATTGCTATGAAGAAAATAGGGCAATGTGCTAGCTAGCAAATAATATGAGTACAATGGTGGTGAGGAAGATCTACTTTTTGGTCTTATCCTTTCGACACAGTGGTCCTTTGTGTATTCTGGCATTTGTAGCTTACATAGCATCCTCTAAAATACTTTTCAAATCCATTCTTATTTACTTAATACACACTTATAAAATGCTGAGATGGATTTGCTGAATAACATAGGCAATACAACAGGGAGGGATCATCAAAATCAAACTCACTTTTAAATGTTTGTTTAGTGAGTCTTAAGACAAAAGGATGCTTGTGTCAACTCTGTGGCATCTTATCTGAGATCAAGAGTAAGATCTATTGCTTATGGTTAACTGTGTAGCAAGATAACTACCATAATTTTAAAAGCCACTGTAGCAACTGTCTTAGAAACATGAAGTACTTTGATAACCAGCCACCCAAGAGCAGCATGGTCTCTAACACTTTTAGAGAATAACACAACTTCCTGTGTTTATTAGGGTCAGTTAAATACAGACTCTGTCCAAAGCCAGTAAAGGCTTTGCAGTCACAGGAAATAAGCACTGCACGTTACTGAGATGCTGGATGCTGGTTATTTATCTCAGCCAATAACACACCAAAGTTGGAGGCTCAGCTATCATGTGGGTAAGTCAGAGGAGGCTTACAAAGTGGGCCAGTTAAAGATGTGAAAGACACATTGACTTGGGGGGAGAGAGAAACTCTTTGGGAAACTGCATTCTCTTCCTGTTTTGTGGAAAGGCAGCCTGTGTGCCAGGGTATTTCTTACACTGGGGTATAGTATCTCACTGTATCTGAGTAGGTGTCTAGGAGGACCCTGAAACCATTGGA